CATATTCACTAGCATCTGAATATATAATACGTTCAGGTATTCTAAGCATTGGAGTTATACATTTAAAATGTAAGTTTTCGCACTGAAAATACCAAAATCTGAGCTTTTGTAAAATTTCGTCATTAAAATGTACAAAAGAATCCCAATATATCCTAGTGTTAATCATCATATGCAAATCATCGTTCTAGTCATAATTTGACAAATAGAACCTAATGCTGGTTTCATGGATATAATTTTACCACATACTTTAGCTAAATTTCTACAAGTCGGTCTAATCGTACCTTCTAATAATGCAGAAATGCACAATTTCAAACCCTGAAATTTTTTATTCGGTATTTCTAAAGTACTATTCCAAATAAATCCCAACCATTCAATACTCTGTTGTGGTGTCCACACGCTTTTAATTTCATTAGCAACAAAACCAGATTTTTTCAAATCATCGCGAATCTGATTAGCCATTTTAGAACATGTATCAAAATCAACAGCTAAGCCGAAACCATCGTCTAAATAAACTATGATAGGATAACCCATAGATCTCCAATGTTTTACTAAAACTCTAACTGTCTTAGTGAAAATGTGACCAGCTGATGATAGGCCGAACGGTAAAACAGAAAAAGTATAAAATCTGATTGTGTTGCCAAATTTCCATGAAAAGCCTAAATATTTTTGGTGCCTCATGTATATCAATATGATGATAACCCGACCTAAAATCAAATTTATACCCATATTCAGCATTAACTGCATAATTCAAAGCTTCATAAACACCCTCAAATTTCACCTTTTGTTTGTCAACATATTGATTAACATATGACGTAAATCGAGTACTAATCTCATTTTACCTGAACTTTGTACAGATACCGTTAAAGGATTCACAACAAACGGTGGACATGCGACTTCTTTAATACAATGTGTGTCAAGTAACTCAGATATGGATTTTTCAACAAAATCTGAATATTTAACTGCAGACATATTATTTCATAAAAAGGCCAAATTTGGTTCACTAACAAATGGTATTCTATATCCTAAATTTATAGTATTAATAATAAAATCATTTGCACATAAAACATATTTCCAGAACTCAACATTTTTTCTTAAATTGCCTTTGACATTAATAAGTGTTTTTCCCGTTTTTGTCTCATAATTGTTAATAATATCAAAACTATACTCAACTTCATTAATAACTGATGACTGTGAAGAATTCATCTCGTGTTGATTTTGGAATCTGTTCTTTTGGTGAGGTGACAGTTGCAGATGGGACTCCTTTGAATGGGCAGACTCTTGCAAAGTGACCGGGCTGGTTGCAGTAAAAACACACTGCTGATTGAAAATTGGTGCTTGGTTTCCCACGGTTCATGTCATTGGCGTTGAATTGGCTAAAGCCACGAAAAAGTTCTTTGGTGTTGAATTTTGTACCATTGTTGTCTGGACAGCCATTAGCATTTGTTGATCTTTCCACCGGACGATCATATGGTTTGGAATTCCTTCTCCTTGAATTAGCTCTGGCGATTGCGGACCGTAAATTGACGGCATCGTCCTTATTATCAGCCAAAGGACTATCCAGATACTCTTGAACAGTATCCCACCCATGCTTATCGGCAATCTTTAGAATTTTATTGCGTTTTCTTAATGTCTCTTTCTCTTCTGAAATCAGGGGTGATGCGGCATCCAAAGAATTAAACTGAATATAACTGTCAATTTTGGACAATTTATCAGAACGTTCAATATTGAAACTATGCTGTATTCGGTTACCTTCGTGCTTGAACGAAAAATCTGTTGCATCTACACCAGTAGCTTTCTCCGACTTGTCAGTGGCAAAACGGCTCTCAAAATGTTGAATTATGTTGTTCTTTTGTTGCTCTAACCTGTTGCTTAGTACAGTAGAGAAGAGTGAAACAGCACCGTCTGTCGACAATTCGGTATTAGCACCACTAGATTCTGTCGGATCTCTTACATCTAGGTCTGGATCGGAGTTTGACGTAACGTATTCAGGAATAAACTGCAAACTGACTGTCGTAGTTACTGTGAGCACTTTCGATGAAATGACACCCACAAATTTTCTTTATATAATATAACGGAACCCCACCTTTTAAACCGCCAAAGTATTTCACGTGCATATATATAACTCATATATATTTATATCCCAAAACAAGAACCCGTTATACAACTACTCTCACTAACCAGTTTTGAACATATAAATAGTATAACTATAACACAGGGAAAACCCCAAGTCTAAACGAAAAGAAATTTAACAAATATAGTTTATATTTAAACATTCAATTACAGATTGCAGTTCCTCCAAAATGAAAAGTTTGCCATCATTGTCTGGTCCTGTTTCTTGCCACCTGATGGATACCTGTACAAGTATACAATGCTGTATTGATGTAGAACAGCTGAGCAGGTCCATCCGTGCATATCTGATTCTTGATACTTGTAGTTATAGCTTTGAAATTGGAATAGAGAAACTTACTTACAAGAAGTCCCTTCTGGATATTGATTTTGACCAAAAACAAAGTTTTGATCTGTTCAACGTTTTAAAAATAGAGTAAGTATCAAGTTAATTTATTTATTTAATATATATATTTCCAACGAGACAAAATAATCTGTTCTATTAACTTATACTTATACTTCATATTTAGGGTTTAAAAATAGCAACCTCAACATTCAACCTATCTAGGAATGGATCAGTATGATAATAAACTGATTTGTTTACACTAAATTATAATTATATAAATGGCTAAGAATGTAACTTTAACACATAATAATGTGTGTTCTAAAAATACTAGTACTTACAGTATTTTGGTAGACAAACTAGCTTCATCAGGCATGCAATTCTCCTGGTTATGAATTTGAGGCTTAAATAAATACTAGGTAGAATTGTTTGCCATCATATTTAGCTGACTATATAATACTGTCATTTTGATTTGACCATTTTTAAAGGCAGTAAAGATGTAAGACAATATAGTGTCCTGTGGAATAGTGTCCGCCTGGACAGTTTTTCACAGAATTAAAGTATTAAATAATGTTCATTGCCATGAAATTTGATTCTCTTTAGTGGACAGAATTTTTTAGTAACAGTTATATGAAATAGTGTCTTAGCAGTTGATATTTAATTATGTCCTCCAAGGGAAGTAATACAAAGGTCATCAAAATGTTTTATTATATCTGAATATTAATTAATTAGGACAGGTGTATAAGAAATAGATGAATTTAAACATAAAAAATGGATGTCATTGAATAACGACAAAAGGAGTATGTTCATGAAGGGTTAAAATTGGCCATAAGATTTTGATGCTTTATTTAATTCGGTCAAAATACTACAAATTTCACATAGAAATAGTTGTGATATAGCTTAATACAAAGTAACTTCTTTTTGGCACATCACATTAAAAATAATGGAAGAAATGACCCCTCAAGTATGCGTTATTTGTGTTGTAACGTCAGTTTTGGTCAAATTTTCAATAATTTTTAGCAGTTTTTACTTTGTCCACCACCCTTGGTTTAGAATGTTTTTGTGTCTATGGATTCAATATCATCATTGGCAACTTTTGGCTACAGAACAATTTGGATCTTAGGTTGCTGCCAAAGGTTTTCTAAATGCTTAAAGGTAAGAAAAATGCACAAAATCCTCATTTTTTGACAATATATCAAAATGTGCTGAATTTGAAGCCTAGAATGTACTCTAATGAAAAGGTATGTTTAACCTAGTACAATGAAGTAAGTATTTTGAAAATATATCCATTTGGCCAGTTTGAAATTTTATGATAAAGTTGAAATTCAGGGCCATATTTGGTCTTAAGTGAACTTTGTCCTTTGCAACTATCTTTATAGTTCACAGAAATACCCAGAAAAATATAGTGAAAATGTAAGGCGAACACTATGAAGAAAATGTCAAAATTGTAAAATCATATTGGAGGAGTTATATTATACTTATAAAGACAGGAAGGCCAAAGAAAGTATAGACAAGCTTCAGTTTTTCACAGAATTAAAGAATTAAATAATGTCTATTGCCATGACATTTTGTCTCTTAAGTAAACAGTAACAGTTATGAAATAGTGTCCTCCCAAAATGCTTGATGAGGAACAGGCACAACAAATGTGATGGAGTTAAATATTATTTCATGGGGGACATTATTAAATCCTACATTATCACATTTACTGTTCAAGGACCAAATTTTATGGTAAAAAGTGTCCAGTGATAACATGGACACTTTTTCACAGCTTAGGACATTTTTTCATAGCTCAATTGTGTCCGGGACACTTTGAAAAAAGAAAATAGTGTCCATGGACACTATTTACTATGAATAAATGTTCAGTGGACATTATTTCATGGGGGACATTATCAAATCTTACAAAGAGACCTTGACTTTTTAATGCCTAACCATAGATGGAAGAGGGGCATTATATTTTCTCATCCCTGCATCCATCAATTATTCTGTTCTTCCATCCTTTCCGTATCGGGATAATGTTTTTGGTCAAGATGAGTTAACCTTGAAGTTGTATGAACTTTTTAAATTGTGTTTTCAATTACAGTTGTGACCCCAATTTAACTGAACATGGAAATGTTAGTGAAACTAGTACATTCTCAGGTTAAAGTTTTTTGTTCAGGTAGTTTACCATTAAGTGGTCACATCAACTCGAAACTAAGTACACATGTTCATTATATGAAAATTTTCAAATTGTATGCCAAATTACTGATTTTGGACTTCATTTCACTATTCAACAAGGAAAATGGTTCATACAGTGCTGTAAATTCATTCATGTAGGTGTACTGCTGAATCTGATAAATGTATCACCTTGCCTTTCATCTTATTATGAACATGAAAAGGAATATTATATACTAAAGCTTTTTAGAAATGATTTCAATTTCAGTTATTCTATAGATGACCTGAAGTCTGAAGGTTTATTGTTGGTCAACCTGGATGTGAGTGTATGTTTTGAATCCCATGGAAGCTGTGAATTTACAGTCAATGTATTGAAGGATGTTTTTTTACCTAAACCGCTGTGTAACTGGCAGAATGGCTCATTTAATATTGGTATACCTTAGTCTTTTTTGAAATAGGACACTACATTTTATTTATATTCATCTATTATGTTTATTTTGCTTAGAATTTGTATTTAATGTTATTACCAGTACTCCAGACTTCATTCATCTGTTTAAAAATATATATTGAATATTAACCTAATTGTCAGAAGAATTATTTTTTCCATCCATCCTTCAGTCCTGTTCTTGTCATCGCAACTCCTCTTTAACCACACAACTGAATTTCATGAAACTTTGTAGATAATAAGACCATACTATGTAGACTTGCATATCGACAGGAAATTATGATTTAACTTTTTTCCAGGAGTTATGCCCTTTTGAACTTAATAGAGATTTGGCCTAATTATACTACTACAACAGTTTGTCATCGCAACTCCTCCGAAACCACACAACAGAATTTCATGAGACTTTTTAGATAAAAAGGACATACTATGTACAGTCCGTGTAACGTAAAAGTTAACAATACGAACGATGCCCGAATCATGTACGGACGATGCCCGAACGATGTACGTACGCTTCCCGAACGGTGTACGAATGCAAACGAAACGCTGACCGAACGTTGTACGGACGCTGAACGAATGATGTACGAACGAAACCATATACCATAAACCATACCATAAACGATAACATAAGCGCCCTTTTATCGTACATCGTATGGTTTTGCGTACATCGTTTCATTAAGCGTATACCGTATCGTTTAGCGTATTAGCGTACATCGTTTCGTTTAGCGTATATCGTATCGTTTAGCGTACATCGTTTCTTGGCGTGCATAGTTTCGTTTACCGTATATGTTTTTTTTGAATATAAAACATGAATGGTGTTCTGTTTAATTTTTTTATATAGGTGATAATAGGCGTAAAATTTAGATTGGATGCATGTTTCAGTTTTTAATTAATAATTTAATAAATTATAATTTGATCTGACTCGATGTTGATCCAAAATTATTTACATAAAACGTTTGAAAAATAAACACTGAAATAAATTTAAACAAATTAAAAGATACGATTATGAATTGTGTTAGCCGTAGAAATACGTACTTGGTGAATGTGCGAGTAAACTGCAGTCTGCATGGTATTTAGTCAACATTTTTTGAAAATAGCCCAAGGTATTAACATTATTTTTTTTACCTAAATGAACAATTGATTTAAGATGGAATTCGGAATTAATCTAATGTTCTTACAAAAGTTTATTTGGGGTCTTAAGGTTGACCTTTTGTCCAAAAGGTTTGTTAAATATTTTTATGTATTCTCTTTTATCGCATGTATTTTAAAATCGACTGAATAGCAGTTGTATCCATATATCGTAATTAAACCAATTTTTTTAGATTATAGATTTTTTTTATTTATCTATCAAATCAGTCGAAAAAAAACAAATATTCGAAAATTTCAAATAAAAACAATTACTCGTTATGTGCCTCATCAACCCTAAACATAAATCCCTACCGATGTACATACGATTGTGTATTATTTTAACTATAAATGCACTTGACTTTAAACTATCATCAACAATTGTCCGGCAAAAAAACTAGACCCTCTATTCTTTCATTTTCTTATACCATTTTCCTCTGTTCTTTATTTTTCCCGTTATACTCTATTCTAATTTTATATATTTTTTCTTTATTTTCCTGTATCTATACCTCCTTTATTCGGAGCAACCCCACCCTAAATATACATATGATACACACGGTCTATAGGTCATCGCTTGTGCCGTGATACATGTTTGCATAACAAAGGATGTCCTTGTTCATATTTATAACATTTTAAATGTCCTCCTAATAATACATATAATAGTTGCCACTGGACATTAAACAGCTAACTCTAAATTCATCCGTCATATTCTTAGTTTTGTTATAATGTGTAAATCACATAACATGATGAACAAATAATTATTGCAGATTTTTACTGCCGAAATAATGGGAAATAATTGTAAACAAAACCACACAATCACATCCCTACGCCACAAAGTCTAGCCTTTTCACATGTAAATAAATTATTTTCATAAATCTATTTCAAAATAATTTTAAACAATTTTAAATCAAACGGTCATTTTTCTTATTTGCCAAAAAAAAAAAAACAACATCAAACAGTTATTTTCATTTCTTATTTTAAACAGATCGATTGTTTTCAATGGTCGGTGCCTGACAGCATCTATAAAATCTATCACCATGTTTGCCAATAAGAAAGCTTCATAGAACAGGAAAACAACAATGTCTTATAGAAATACTTCCAGGCCATATTTTCCAATTTCTGTTGTAATGTGGTTTAATGCAAAAAAGGTAACTCCTGAATACTGATTTGTACCCATCAAGCATTTGGGGTTAATAACAAATCTATGGTAGTCTCTTTTTCTTTACTCGCAAAGTATTCGACTAATTCATGTTTTATTTATGAAAATTGCTCATTGCTGACGAATGTTAAATATTGATCCCTAGATTTTCAATTGTTTAGTTGTTAGGTTACTGTCTGATCTCGCAAACCTGACATTTTATGGTCATTATGTTTTGCATCCAATTGCACCAATTTATTAAAAAGATATTAACGCGACACCGTACGAGAGTCGTTACTTTACATAAACTACTAGCATTTTTTTTTTTCTATAACGAAATAAGAAACCACTTCTCGCAATTCGCTTTGGGGTAATTGTGCTTCTCTTTTGACAAAATATGGCCTTGTCTCAAAAACAAAAAGTATAATATAATATAGAGTAATATATAAAACTGGACTAGAGTGAAGAGTTAGGAAGTAGGAATTCCGAATTTTAATTGAATGTTCTAAATCTTTGTGTATTTCTGATAAATGATTGTACAGACTCAAAAAAGTCTTTGTTTTGCTGAAATGAAAGGTCACCGTCACCAGCCAATAGAAGCAAAATGGATATAGTAGATCTTTCTAATTTTGAAAACAATATATCTGTTGCTTCGTTGATAAAAGGGCACTTAAAAAATAATGAATACTATCCTCAACAGGATGGCCACAACTGCATGCGGGATTGGGTTTAATATTAATAAGGGTTAAATTTGATTTGAAGAACTGCACCATATTTCTCAACTGTGTATCAATGATATTAAGATTTCTATCACCACAACTAAACTAGGAAGTGCGTACTGTGAATAAATTATTATACTCAGTTTACTATTGCTTACAACAATTTATCACATATAATACCACGTTAACAATAAGGCCCGAGAACACAGTTATTTCGTAGTGCATTTCTTTTAGACAATAAATTCAAATTAAAAAAATCGCACCTGATCTATCTCAAGAAAGATTTTTACAGTGTAGTGTACTACTATTGGGACAAATAATATCAAAATTATAGAAACTTCTACCAGCTCCAGAGGAGGGGCGACAGCCTTAGGTGCTGTGTGCAAATTTTTGTAGGTCACGTGGTACGATTTTAGCGTCTCTCGACAATTTTGAATCTGGAAAAGATCGATCTGTTCATGTTTTTATATCAAATATACTCTCTTGCACTCGCAGAAAGTATAGAAAGTTATGAAATAAAAAGATTAATCAATGATAGAAGATCACTTTATATGAAATATTTTCTTTATGTTTTTTATTTTTTAAGTAAATTCTATCAATAAAGAAATGCACTGTAATGGCGGGAAATTTTATTCGATCTCTGCGAAATCACGAGGCACAGATTTTTGTAAATTTTACAAATGTCAGCACGTGAAAATCATTCAAATTTATGCCAATTAAAGAACACTATTCAAACATTCTAAATCTTCTTAAGTCTCCGTAAGTCTCCAGCCGTTGCTTTGTAATAAGTCGCTAAAATATGATTTCCGGTAAGTAAAATATCAATAATATTTGTCAAATCCGCTAGTAATTATGTTATTTTAGGCATATAAACTCTTATATGTATTTTAATCATTTTGAAAACAAAATGAAAATTTTGTCTTATGAATAACCATCATGATAAATATAGTTTTTTTTTCATAATTGAATCGTGCATTATTTGTGTATTGGATTGCTGAATTGCCTTCTCTCTAGTGTTATCTCTGTTTTGTTAACTGACAAATGACGAAATAATGCAATATTTAAAATTAAGTATTTTACAAAACTTTGTCCCGATTAAAAACTTAAAACCGATTGAATAAATTGAGAATTCAGTGATTATCGATGTCGAAATTAGCCCTTGGTAATAAACAGTTAGTTTGGGTATAAATATGTTTATTGTCAAGAAATAACTAACAAATTTGTTTATTATGTATGTACAAAGTATATGTATATTGCATGATCAACCCTCCTGTATATTACTTGTTTTTTTTAGTTGATTCAACAAATTTCGTTTGTCCAGGTGTCATTAACGGTGATGTCAACACCACGAGTAGTTTGATATAAATGACACAATACCACCGCGACCGATCGATAATATAAGACAAATCTGCGTGCCGTGTGCAGAGTGTCGTCCCTCCTCTATACCAGCTCTAACTCAAAATATTGACAATTCTGTGATAAGGGGGTCTAAAATTCAGTTTGACAGCTTCAGACGTAATAATTTTTTACCTATTTTAACTGGTCCAAATCACTCCTTAACATAAAGATTCAGCACCCAAATTGTTTTAACATGTAATTTCATCCCCCTTCTTGATATTTCATGCATTAAATTTCAAGAAATAAATTGGGAAAGTATATCAAAAAAAAAATGCAAGTTATACACTGTTCACACTAGGGACTATATTCGTAGGGTGACGGTGTTTGACAGTCTGAAGGAGACAGCATCAAGGATTTAATAAGGCAAAGCTTTTGTTGTACTCAATCTTACTTTATTATATTTAATAGATATATATTCGAGATACGATAATGTAGTTTTCTTTTTTATATCAAACCTGATCATCTATGATATATATATATGGAACTTTTTAACGACCTTGGCTGGCTATACAGCCCTTGCACGGTCGGTTCATCTATGATGATGATGGGAGTTTTTAAAGAACTTGACTGGCTATACAGCCCTCGCACGGTCGGTGTGCAAATGATGTCA